TTTTCAATTTCTATTTAAAATATATACATAATATATCAAATATACTATTAAATACTATTAAACGAATTAAGTAGCATATTTTAAGTTATTTCCTTTAACATGTTCATCTAAGCTAATATATATAATCTTATAATCTTTAGAGCAATTGCTAAAATATTTGTTCTATAAATCTCACACAAATTCCTTAAGCAAAATTATTTCTTATATTTTTATTTTGGTAGCTGACTTTAACAAATCGTCGTATTGCAGTGCCAACTGCACTTAGTTGAGCCAGGGCTGCATAATAGATGTCGTCTGGCAGCTGCCGTTTGGATTTTGAGGTAGAGTATTTCAAGCTCACCAGCTAAATAGCTGGATTTACTATAATTGTGTGTGTGTGTCTGCGTGTAGGTAACAAACCGGAAACATGGTAAGCATTTCCGCTTTATATCAAAATATAAAAAATGACTGCTCTTAGACATGTTTGACAAAAGCTGTATATCAGAGCAGAGAAAGGCATATACATAAAGAGAGAGAAATCGAGAGAGAGGGAGAGAGAGAGAGAGAGAGAGAGAGAGACGCAGAATGAGCCTGAGAGTGAGAGCTATAATTGCATAAATCAAACTCAAACATGTAGCATGAAAAATTGCATTAATTTATCTGCTCAGTCGTCGCATGCAGCAGCGCCTGCCTATAGCATGCCACGCCCCCCACCACTGCACGGCCACACGACACTGGCAAAGGCGCTGTGTAACATATCCGCTTATGTCAATTTTTTGTTCGCTGCCAAATGGAAGCAAGCAGCTGGTGGAAGGAGCAGGAGRAGGAGGAGGAGGCGAAGGAGGCTGGAGGCGGCAGCAGCATCATCATCAACGAGCTGCTGCTACTCGTTCCGATCGCTGCCATTCCAGAGTAACCAAACAGGCAGTCAGTTGTCACTGTCAGTGTTTGTCACAGCTCTGACTGTCAGTCTGCCCCCCCTCTCTCTCTCTCACACACACACTCTTTGTCTGTTTTGTTTGTTTAAATGCAACATTTACTTTATGGATTGTTGCTATATATTTTTTCTTCAACTTTCGACCCGCAAAAAGCGAAACGTATAATACACAGCGCCCAGCTGTGTTAGCCCTTGACTGATGTGACCCTTCACAACTTTGCTCCTTTTTAATAACTTGCTTCAACACACACACACACACACACACACACACACACACACATACTCATACTCGCACACACATACTAATGCGCTAATAACCTGGTTCTTGTGTGCGCTTTAAGTGTCCTCTTCATGGTACATAGTTTAAAATTCTTTATAATTGGATTGCTCCATCTAAAGGCCAGCCAGCTCACAGCTCGCAGCTCATACTCCAGCTGGCCCATTTTTTATGGCCACTTTGCAGGGGACAGACGTAGTCAAAGCCCCTTTTGCTGGCCCGTGGCATGTCAAAAAGGATTTCACAGTTGACGCGTACAAACCAAAGTTGGCCCCCACTCAATTCTGGCCCAAAAAAAAAAAAAGTAGCTCCATGTAGTCCTTTTTTTCTGCACATATATATAAACATATATAAAAAGAGGGAGAGAGAGAGACACATAGAGAGAGAGGGAGAGAGGCAGGAACGTGTTCCTCTGGCATAGGCGTAGAGGCATCCGGTATCCCGCACATGTGTGGTGGTGTGGGCTCTCGAAAGTGATGATATGTTTCATTTCACACGGCAGCCGTTTCGGCAATCCTTTCGACCGCACACAGACATGCCCATACCGTAGAGCAGGATGCGCCCCAACCATGCCACTTCATTCAATACGTCGAGATTTATGTTTTCTTGTAAACAAAATAACGGACATGCTCAAGGCTCAAGGCCTACGAATGGGAGGGTCTTAAAGGTACATGTAGCATGAGCGTGGGGGGGGGGGGGGKTGCGACATCAGGATTAGAGTAACATGTGCAGGAGGACTATTCGATTTCCTTTCAATGCCGTTTCGATAAGAACTCGCGTCTGTTGTTGCCAGTGTGTTTGCTGTGTGAGCCGAAGAAATTAATTATTCAGCAGCTTAAAGCTTAGCCCTTTAACAACAATCCTGCTCTCTCCCTCTTACACTTTGCCTTTAAGGAAGTGAAACAAAGTTCCACATAAAAGCAGCTGCCTCAATAAAATCTGCTTCACATATCGCCTATCCTCAACTAAAAGTTTATAATTAAGGAAACCCTAAATGCGTCTAAATTAATGAAATAAACTTAAAACTAAATTTTACTACGTATATTGTTGTTATGGTTACATATTGTATAGCAAATATTGTTTAAGCAATAAAAGTTTTAATTCGAGTTTTCTTTTTTTTTCATTCTTAAAAATGTATTCAATTACATTTTCATTAAATTTAAAAATCAAAATAATTTTTAAAATGTTTCTTAACTATGAAGCCCCGCAGCAAATTGTTTTTGAAACTTTATATTTCAGATTTTTTTTTTTTTTCTTTTCTTTTATGTAGAATAATTTAAAAGAATCTAAAACTCAAGATAATTTGCTACGTATTTCAAATATAATATAAATATTTGAATAATTTCAGCCTAATTCTATTTTTTATTTTCATTTACTTTATTTTATTTATTTTTTTTGTTACATGATTAAACATTTTACACAGTTTTACATATTTAAAATTATTCCAACTTATTCTTAGTTATTTTACTAAACAATACTCATATTCATGTTTGAATTTTTAGCAACATGCATTTCTTTCTGCTTGCTTAAAAATATAGTCCAAAATATTTGTATATACAAATAAAATTGTTGCTTAATAAGAATTTCAAACATTTTTGCTCAGACAACGAGAATTTCTCTTCTTTAATAATATTTAATGAAATTTTGCTTGCTTCCCCTCTAATCATATTCAAGAAAACTTGTTATATAAACATTTAAAGTCTAAGCCAAAAGACTCCATATAAATGCAACTACAAATTGGCTTCAAATATTGTCTAGACAGACAGTGCCTGAAAATGTTTTCATACACAAAGTCTCACACACACACACACACACACGCATACACACATACATATTCACATTATGGGCATACGATTTGTTATGCCGCATACGTGTGCCACGTCCAGTGAGTGAAATCTGTGGTACGCAGCCGGAGGCTCTGTTATCCTGCCACATGCAAATATTCTAATTTGCATATGTTTAGCAAAACACACGCCAAAGTTTTTTGTTTTCTGTATGCTTTTTTATTGTGGGCGTGGCATTAGGAAAAAGCTAGCAGCTGGGGAGCGCAATGGAGACCAGCAAATTATGCTGCGACAAAGACAAGTTACGCATACGCAACGTTGTGCGCCACAGGTGGAAGGCAAACTTGAAAGAAAACATAAAAACGGAACGAAATGGAAAGAAATTGCCCAGCGAACAGCATGTCAAGCGGAAATTGAGCAGAGCATAGAGCAGAGTGACACGAAGATAGAGAGAACGATAGATTTAGATTGAATGAAAGACAGAGAGAGAGAGAGGGAGAGAGAGAGAGAGAGAGAGAGAGAGAACCACCTGTCATGCGGCTTTGCTGGAACGCTGCTGGGTTTCAATTTCATGTCTGAGCTAATTGAGCAAATCGCTAAATGGCTTTGGCAGCGGCTCACTTCCGTACCCGGCTCGTAATTATAAATCAATTGCTTGCGGTGTTTGCTTTGAACTGCAATCGCAGTCGTTGTCGACAAAAAAATAAAATGAAAATCGAAAAAAAATCGGCTCCGATTTCAGGCAAATAGCTAAAGCATCAGCGACAACTTGCAGCCATTCCGTGACATTGAAGGCAAATTCCTGCCACCAACTGGCATAGACGGTGCCTCCCACACCCTCCTCCTTCCCCCCCTCCCAGATTGCGTTGCGGCTGTGAAATTCGAATCGTGCCATTTCTACACATTTCGCACGGCTTTTTGTCGGAGTTTGCTTTCAATCTGCGCGCTGCGCTTTTCATTTTCAATTTCTTTGGAAATTTATTTCATGCAGAAAAGCAAATTTCATAACTTGAACGAGCCCCCTACACCCGTCCCCCTCCGTCTCCGCCATGCACCCATGCCTATCCTCTGACAATACTATTTCTGCCTGCTCCTGTTCCATATTTTTCGTTTTTATGTGTTTATGCTCTGCCTCGAGCTGGTTTACATTTTATGCAGCGCAAACTTCTTCTTGTAAATATTTTTGTATGGTGTCCCGCCTGGCGGCTAGTAGTCGCCCTCTCCCCCTCCTCCTCCTCCTCCTCCGACCAATGCTCGCTGCTCTCTGCTTGATTTTGATCCGATTTATGTTATATATATGTGCACACACGCAGCTACAAACATTGACTTGTGCCCCAGTGGCCCCCGAGGCTAAAGTATATATGTATGTATGTATATATGTTCTGCTGGCATTGTTTGCCTCGTGGCGGCTGTGGGAAATGGCCCCGTAAACGTTTAATAAAATATGATTTCAATTGATTCACAAGTCGCATTTCGAATCGAAATGTGCGATATGCTCGCATTATTCGCTGCCATTGACAGAGCTCCTACTCCAGCTAGAGCGCCTCCTCCTTGCTCCCTGCTCGCTCTGCCACTGTGTCCAGGCTCATCCTTTGACGGGGCAATCAATAAAGTAAAGTGCTTGGACGGGCTGCTGAGCTGAGCTGACTCGATCTCTAGGGGTTACGTGTCCATTCAAGGCTCATTGCCGTCCCCTAGATCCCCACCAGCCCCAGCCTCCTGTCTGTCTTGTCTTGTCTTGTTGGGCCGCACAGTTATCCGCTTAGATCACTCAACTAAAAAACTCAATTTGCATATTAATATTATTTGGGTTTTTGGGCCCCGTTTTTGCTGTTGTGCCATGCCACTTCAGTTCACTACACTTCAGCCACGCCCCCTTGCTTGCCTGACCTTTTATCAAACGGCAACAACAAGTACAACAACAACAGCTGAGAATAAGCAACAGTAGTTGAATTGAATTTGCTGTGCTTCAACGCCTTTTTGTTCTTTGATATGCAATGTCTTTGTCTGTCTGTCTGTGTGTCTGTTTGTGTGTCTGTTTATGTGTGTGTATGTATGCGTGTGTGTATGCCACATATATGTAGTTTGACTCACTTGTTGTAAGCACAGCGTTCAATATTATATGCCGCATCTGCCAACATAATCACAGGTAAGCCAAAGTATTTTAGGCTTTACACAAGTGAAAACAGAAAGAAAACAATAGAGGGAGAGAGGCTGATTGAGAGAGACAGAGATAGATAGTGGGAGTGGGTATGAGAGAGAAAGAGACTGTTCATTGCAATTCCTCAAGCGAGTATATCAAGGACATCTACATACTGTATATAGCATTACATTAATTTTACAGATTATTTTACAGAAAACCAATATACCCCTTTCTACATTCATAACGAGCATTAACTTTTATATCAATATTTTATACTGTTAAAGATTCCATAAATATAACAAAAATGTATATATGTATGTGAATATTTTTATAAATCAAGGCATAAACAAATATGCCCTATTGACCTATTTTCGAGCGAGTATATTGAATGCAACGCTTAGCTTTGGTCACTTTTGCGTGGTATTTAAGCCATTTCCGAGTCTATTGCAACGTGCAAAAATTTGCAAGAGACACTCTATATATGCATATATGGATATTTCTATAATCTTGAATGGCTCTATGATTTATGAAATTGACATTGCAGCTGGCAGTGGCGCATCAATGTGAATCGATGCCACACGCAGAGTTCTGCACATTAAAACGAATGAAATTTGTTGCTGCGCTGACAGCTGCAAATGCAAAAGACGTTTGCAGCAACAGCAGCAGCCACATCTACATCGATATGCATACATAGACTAGATATAAGCCCCTCCACAGAGACATGATGGAGTATGACACCAGTGAGCAAGAGGGAGAGAGAGAGGGAGATTGAGAGCGAGAGCGAGTCGGGCTGGGTGGCTGTTTTATGATACACTTATGACTGCTGCACAATGGAATGGATAAATCGGCATATACATAAAATGTCGTTACAAATATTTTATAACAGGAAATCCGTTATTTATACGCACATTGTGAACACTTCTACTTCTTCATCTTCCCCTTTTTTGCTGTTGCTGCTGAAGTGGGGGGAAGCTGGCTGCTCGCTCGTCTCTTTGGCAAATATGAATGAATGTTGTTTGCATTTTGCCTGTCGCCAGACTCTTTGCCTCCTTGCCACGCCCACCGACCAAACCGAACGCCCGCCCGCCCAGCCGCCGCCGCCGCCGCCGTCAGTGGCGCAATCCTTATGAATTGACTACAATTTTATTTATTATTACTCGCTCAGCTCGGCATTTCGTTCGCTCTCGTATTTCTATGGCATGCGACTTGTTTTCGAGCGTTCCCAAGGCAATTCCATTATGGCCAACAATCCGCCAGCAAATTGCAAGGCTCAATTGATATTGGCTCGCACCAGGCAACAGCAAAAATGCCAGCAAAGCAACAACAATGATCGAGCTTTAAATGATTTGCAGCGAACAACCTAATTGGCCGGCACCCGAGGCGCCTGTTGTCTATCCTCTGCTCCTCTTTAAACGTGGCTAACAGACTTGTTAGCCGTGTTGACGGAAATTATGTGGCTGCTGTTAAAGGTTGCTCCGAGAGAAGCTTTAAAATCTACATGATACCAAAAATTATCAAGAATTAACACGAGCCACAAGCGGGGCTCGGCTCAGTTGCGAGAAATTATAATGAGATATCCTGTAATATTTGCCTAATGGAGCACTTAGAATGAGCCGACTTGGCAGGTGCGGCTGGTTGGGAAAGACGTTATACTGATTGAGTGACTGATTGGTTTGGCTATTGATTGATTGATAGAGTCTGGCTTACTAACTGGTTGACGCATCTGTCACTGCCTGTAACTGATTCCGTCAGATTGATTCGCTAACTTCTCCTCAGACAGCTGAGGAGCTCTGATTGACAGGTTTCCATTGAGTGAGACGGATTGATTGACTTGAAGACTTCGATTGACTGAAATATTGGCTCTGATTGACTGATAGAAAGTCAGACTAATATTTGAAGACTGACATACGATTGACCGATTGATTGACAGCTTGACGATTCTCTGACTATTACAAATTTTGACTAGAACCTGATGAATGGCTCTGATTGATTGACTCTATCTGATAGATTTGTTGATTGATTAAATTTAGACTCTGATTGAGTGTCTGTAAAGGACTGATCCTCACTGATTGACCCTGACTGACTGACTGATAGACTGTTTTTGACTGATTGATAGACTATGACTAACTGATTTCGACTGGCTGATTGACTGACTGTATGACTGATTCACTGAGCCTGACTGATAATGGATGAACAGTGCCTGATTGATTGATGTGATTCTGCCTGATTAACTCAGTGACTGGCTGTCAAATTCTTAAATTAATTATCTTTATAATGATCCAACTGATTGACTGAGCTAAAACACTCCTTCAAGTATTTTTAAGCCCCTTGGCTAAATTTTAGGTCGCTCGAAATACACAGCAGCTGTAACAATATCGATTTAATCTGTAGCTTGCCTTATTTCAATTAGATTACTCTACCCCTTCAATATACCACATTAACCGCAACACTTTACAGGGTATCAACAACAAGGAAAACCTAATTAAAAAGTTGCCCAAATTTGCGAGCTAAACAATTTTGTTGCCTGTTTGTTATTGTTGTTGTGGTTAACAGACGCGACGCCCTTCCATAGCACAGCCACGCCCACTCCCATGCACGCCTTTTGTTGCCGTATCCAGTGAGCACCACACTTTATTGACTTGCTTGGTTTATGCTTTGGGAAACGGCATCGCCAACACCAACCGATATATATCCACATCCCGTAACTGGGAGACGCATTTGTACCTGTCGTAGCCCCTCTGCAGTAGCTCCTGCTCCAGCTGCTCCTCCACATGGAGCATCTGGCGCACGTTCTGACGCAGCTGCTCCGCTGAGCGTTCGTACAGTTTTCGGGCATCGGAGCGAAACAGCTGAATGGCCAGCAACAGCTCCGAGTGCCTGTGCTGCAGCTCACCGGCGCCGTAGAGGAATTTATGATGGGCAGCCAGCAGACGCATCACAATGAACCGGCGATAGCGACGCTTCAGCTGCCCAATCGACTGCTCCAGCGCAGGACGAGTCTGTGTATAGCTGAGCAGTGTCAAAATCACGATGATTATCAGCTTGAAGCTGGCAATGAGCAGCAAGAGGGCCATGGGCTTATCCTCCACTAGATCCAGCTGCTCCTGCCAACAGTACAGATCGCAGCCATAGACTCCGTGACTGTAGTCCAGAATGCCAACCAGAGACACGCAGATCAGGCAGCTGACACCCAATGCATTGTAGTGGACGCGCAGCAGATCCCTTACCTGTTGCACGATCCCGAGCATGTTTACAATTTAGGAGGAGGCGGCTATCAATCGGTGTGAGAAATTATAATTTTGACTGAAAATGCTTTAGCTGCTTACATGGACGAAATAGAGAACTAGGATTGATTGAATGGAAGTTAGAAATACTATACTATAGGGTGATTGACTGTATGATTTGGAATTTCAAATTGTTGAATGTTTGATGACCAATAAGCACCTCCTAGGAAATGATTGAAATATATAAATAAGATATGTGCAAAATCTCAATAATCTTATTTAAGGGACCTTGAAATCATTCCCGAACTAGAGATGTCATTCCTGAGAAATTTCAGAAATTGTGCTAAATTTTTATTAAGCATTATTTACAAATCTGTTCTATTGACTAAAAATGAAGATCATCGCGAGCAAGCGCTGCGCGTACCGCGGGCAGCAAAGGATTATAGCGGCGCATGGCAGGCGGTGGCGGATTATTGCGCCGTAGTTCGGGCGGTGGGCCCTGGCGTCTCCAGTTCGCGAGCGGCGGAAAGTGTTGCGGTGGTGTGGAGTGCAGCGGCTTCTGCTGGTAGTAGTGCTTGTGGATGGTGACTGGACGCAGATTGAGCTTGAGCTGCTCGGCGCGCTTGTTGGCCAGATAGCGTTGACGCTCGATGCTATCCACACTGGCCTTGACGCCAAAGACGAGGTGCAGGAACGGCTTCACCAGGACACTCAGCAGCAGGAAGCCCAAGAAGCCAAAGACGACAGGTGAGATCAGAGTGAAGAGGAAGACGCCCAGTGTGAAGGGATTGAGGACTGTGAAGAAGGCAACAAACTTGATGAACGGATACAGAACGTGTCCCACATGGCTGAACCACTCCTTCTTCTTCCTCTTGAACAGGGTGTTGTGGCGCAGCAGATATTTGATTTTGCTAAACGGCGCCTTAGTGGTCGATGGACGTTTGGTGGTCACCACCTGCAGAATTGTGGTTGCTGCCACTGGCGGCTGTGGCTGCTGGCCATGTGGATCCCACGAGGGACCGTGGTGGTGCGAGTGGTACGGCTGCTTAGTGGGATTGGCATAGACGAGGTGAGCCGGCTGTCCCAGCGGCGGGTGTTCGTATTCGGGTTTCTGCTGTCGACGTCTCTTCTTCTTCTTCTTCTTCTCCTTTTTATTCTTCTTCTTCTTCCTCTTCTTGCGTTTCTTCTTGCGCTTCTTTTTGCCACGACGTCGCTTGCGCTTGCGGCGACGGCGAATTCGTTTGCGACGACGGCGAATTCGCTTGCGTTTTCGCTTTTGACTGTCCTTGGCCCGGGATGACTCCGCCGGCACCTTGGCGTCGCTCTTGTGCTGCTCCAGCGGCTCAGCTGTCGCTGGCTGCACCACCTCAAAGGTGCTGGCCTGCTCCACATGCTGCTCGTGCTTCTCCTGCTCCTGCAGATCCTTATCCAGCTGCTCGAACACATTGAATGGCTCCACTGTGCTGGTCTTGTTGAGCTGCTTCTCCTGCTCCAATTGCAGTTGCTGCAATATGCTAAAGCTGCTGTTCGGCCGCTTCTGCTGCAAGAGCTTCAGCTGCTCCAGCGTCAACTGCTCCAGCACACTAAATGGCTTCTTTGTGGTGCTGTGCTTGAGCTGCTCCTCCAAGTCATGCTGCAGCTGCTGCAGCACGTGAAAGGGCTGTGGAGTCGTGGCTATTGGCTGACGCTCGGGTATCCACAACAGCTGCGTTTGTGGCCGGCGCAGGCCACGCCCCTGACGCAACGGAGCTTGCTGCTTCTCCTTCTCCTGCTGCTGCTGCTGCTCCTGCTCCTGCTGAATTGTTGGCTGCACCAGTTGCTCGTATAAAGTTTCATAGATTTTTGCAAAATTAAACACATGCAGGGTATCTGCCAGGCCAACGCTGCCATTGTGGGCGACTTTTGCTGCCTGCTCCTGCTGCTGCTGCTGCTCCTGCTCCTGCTGCTGCTGCTGTCTGCCGTTAAACTCAAACTTTGCTAATCCATCACGCCTGCCGATCTCTGGCTGGGTGCGTGCCCCATCGCTGCTTTGTAAAATCAACAAATAGTATATAAGAAAGTTGTGCAACACTTTCGGCATGTCGTCCTTTCATTTTTCGACCCAACAGCGGCGCCAGGACGTGGCACGAACGAGTATTTTCTTGTACTCAGTTTTATGTTTGATTTAATTTCCAACTTTTGCGCTCGACTTGCGAACTTCAACTGACATTTCGCTTTGGCCACTGGCCACATTAACAGCTCGGTTCGCCCAGCTAGCCCTGTTGAGTCAGTGGAGTCCATTCGTCAGTCCGTCAGCCCGCCAGTCAGTCAGTCAGTCAGTCAATCAGTCAGCCTTTTGGCTACTTGTTGAGCTTGTTGGTTAAACATTTCATTTCATTTCATTTTACTTGCTCTTGATTTCTAGTTTGTTCTTTATATATAATTCTTACTTTTCGCCTCGTTTTCAGTTTTCTTGTTTTCGTTTTCAGTTTTCTTCTGCCTCGCAGTTCTCCTATAAAAGTAAAATTTATTGCCGCTTAGTACATCATCAACGGCTTCTGTTATGACAAATTTACGTACTTGGTGCATTTAACAACTTGTGTAGCACTTAATTATGTTTTGAGCACACGAAGTTGCTGTCTAACTTGTTTGCAACAGCAACAGCAACAACAACAACAACAGCAGCAGCAGCAGCAAGAACAAGAACTTACAACATTTTGGACGCAAAGCGAAAGCGAATTTTGTTCGCTCCGAGGGCGCCATGCAAAAAAGTCTTTGGAAAGTGCTTAGCGGGCAATTGAAGTTGCAGTTGGCTGCCGACGAGGTCAGCAGAATTTTCAGATTAGTTCGAGTAACTCGACTCCCCACGCCCTCACGCCCCCATACCCACCCCCAGCCCATTGCCCAACCCTTGGCCACACACACATACATAAGCATAAAAGGTTTTAGTTTTCAGCTCTGTTTGAGTTCGAGCATGCAAAAGTTCTTATCCAGCCGCTCAATAAATCAAGAGATTAGTAGTCGAGTGCTATAAATATGCCAAGAATTAAAATGTTTAATTGTCGCTGTCAATTTCTTAAAAGCTATTTAAACAATATTTCAACGAGCTCCGGCTGCTTCTCTTGATTATTTCAAATATATTCTAATGTTATTTGAGTCGTAAATTTCAATTTCTTTATAGAAAAAAAAAACAACTTCAAAGAAAATCCGTCACATGCGCACATTATACACATTTTTCTTTTTTTTTTTTTTTTTTTTTTTTTTTTGTCAAGTAAAATTTATAACACATAACGTAAAATGTCTGAGAGCTCGTTAAATATATACGTCGAGCCAGAAGCCTGAGGTATTTATGTGCTTTATTTCGAATAAAAGGTGCTTCAGGTGTGAACAAATCGCGCTTAGAGTTCTTCAATTAGGTATTACAAGGAATTTGAGCCTAATTATAAATTGTGACGAAAATGCTTTATTAAAATATTTGATGTTATAATTTTATACAATTGAATTTGAGTTAAACAATATCAATAAAATTTTATAAATATTTTTAAGTGTTAATGTGTTAAGAATTTAATTTGAGCGAATCAATGTTAAAAATAAATAAATGTATTTAAAAAAAAT